ATCCCCAAGCGCAAGCGGTGTCATTTTAGCACGCTGAGGGAATGAGTGCTTCCGTAGCATTTGTACTTGAAGACATCGTACACGCCCTTACCATGTTGGAGAATAACTACAGGAAGAATTTGAACTAATTACTGCACGGTTTACAAATTGTGTAATCTAACGGGATGGGCCGTCGCCGGGATGGGTCATCGCCGGAATGGGTCGTCGCCGGGTATAAATCGTCGGGATGATCGATGCCGGTATGGTAATGTTCGCCGGGATGGCTTGAAGCCGGAAAATTGGTGCCGGGGTGTACGTCGCCGGGACCTACATCGCCGGGATGGGATGCACTGTCCCCAAGATGGCCCACCTATAAACAAGGGTGCACAAAAAAACGAATCCAACCCTTACCTGACCAAGATGTTCTAACTAACTAAGCAATCAGTTAGATACCTAACTAGATAAGTACAATCCAACTACACTGTGTTTTCTTATATTATTACGACGACGCAAATATTATAAATATATATACACTACAACGCAAAACTCAAAAACGCAATGCACTACAACAGTAAAACAACGACGCAATTAATAATTAATCTCATTTTCAAAAATGACGAAACAGGAAACTCTACCTTTTTCAGGTTATACCTCCAATTTTTGTGAGGATGAGGACGCAAGCGCAACGCCCTAGCGCTCGCAAGAACGCACAACATAGGCGCGCGTTTAAATCTATTTTATTCTACACATAGGCGTACAGGTACAAATTATATTGTTTTAAGCGAGTAAAATATCAAAGACTCACAATCATAGTATGATACTTAAAAAAAAACCAATCTCGTCATATTAATTATCATATCACAGTATAGGTACATAATATACAAGCAGTCCATCTTAAGCGACTGCAGGCATGCTGAGTGTTTTAAAAACTCTAGGGCGTTTAATAAAGGGGGCTTACTTGACCGCCATTTAAGTTCTAAAATTTTAGCGTAAAGTGCAACTTACTACAATAATACAAGGTATTTCAATGAGCGGTCTTTTTAAAATTACTACTAAACTGAGAGTAAAACCTTAAATTTACTTTTTATTTAGGGGATTAACTGGGACTATGACTCGTATTACAGAAAATGTAAAGCTACAATTAATTACTTATTATGAGTATTACCAACTAATAAATTAATTTACAGAGTGAACATAGTTTATATCTGTTCCGAAACTAAACGTTTGATACCTACACAAATCGAGAAATGTATAAATAAATTACATTACATTTCAATTACTTTTTAAAGGGCTCTGGAATCCCGATTACTTTTTCATTAAAACTTTATTAGCCGAAAAAGTAATTGGTAAGTAATCGATATTTTTTTAAGAGCTGGACCTAGCTCTTGTTTCCAACCCATTACTAACATCAAAAGATATGGCGGAAATTGACAAAGGAAGTGTGGGGGTTCAGCTAACGAACAAGCGATGTATTTAGTTTACCTTCCATAGGTATCGCATACAACAAACATTTTGTATTATTCACCAAATCTCATTGGTTGGTGTTCGTTGGCCCTTTCTTTACATAGATATTCAGAACCTAGTTTCTAAGTGAATCTGGTATATTTATTGCACCAATATTTACTTGCATGTCAATGGGTTTTTATGGAACGCCGTTTTACTATTTATTCCAACATTTTACAATGTATCATTTTAAATAACAGTCATTCTTATTCTCTACTATTTTTTGTTTGTTCTTTTTATCTAACACATTAAATATGATTGTTTAAAAAATGTTACTTAATAAAAATGTTGCATGAATTATATTGTTATATGGGTGGAATGCATTTGACTTTATTCTCAACAAATAATTAATAACAAAAAATTAAATTGAATTGGAGGAAATACTTCCATTAAGAAAACGATTTTGTTCAACAAACATAAAGATTCATCCATTTTTAATGTGGAATTAAAATTATCAAACAACATTTTAATTCAACAAACATTTTAATTCAACAATCATATTAATTCAATTATTTAAGTGTTGTACAAATATTTTCAACGAACATTTTAATTCATCAATCATATAAATTCGTTCTATTAACATTAGAAAAAATTATTTAAAGTGATTGTTAAATTAAAATGTTACTTGAATTAAAATGTGACTTGAATTAAAATGTTACATGAATTAAAATGTTACATGAATTAAAATGTTACATGAATTAAAATGTTTGTTGATAATTTTAAATCGTATCTGAGATTGTGCGGGAGTTTCAGGAACTTCCGTTTAGTCCATTTGGCCACGTGTACACTAGCGCCCAATTAAAATTATCAACAAACATTTTAATTCATGCAACATTTTTATTAAGTAACATTTTAAAAACAATCACATTTAATAAATAACATAAAAACAACAATTGTAAAAAGAAGAGACATACAATTGACTGTTATTTAAAATGATACTTTGTGAAATGTCGGAATAAATAATAAAACGGCGTTCCATAGGTTTTTGACAAAACATTGTAGTGTTAAAAGTAGAGGCAATATTTTTTAACTTGTACCTATCTTGTTTATTGCAGAAAGCAGGCAAAAGTTTGTATTGGGATAACATTTGTAATTACTACACAGATATACCAGGTGTTCATTCAAAGTCGGAACATAGGGATAGGGATAGTTAAACGTTTTTGCTGGTTTTTTGCTTGCCAATCTATTTTACAGAAAAATAAATAGTATCAATAGGAAGAGAAAAATATTGCGCATTCAATGACTGTAGTAACAAAATTTAAATTTGAAATTATTGGTGTAAGTTATCAAAATACTCATTAAGACTGATTTTGCTTTGTCATTGTTTGTTTGATTGGGGTTATTGAAAAAAATTTAGGCATTGTCAGAACCACCCTAATCCCCCTCCCACTTTAAACCATCGAAAAACCGAATTTTTTGGATTTAATTTTTTTCTGGCATACTGTTGCTTGAAAGAATCTGAAACATAACCTAAATAAATGTTGAAGTTTTAAAACTTCCACATTTTTACTAAGATGGCTGCAGTTTTATTTTTTTTTTTAAAAAAAAAGGTGTATTATTTTAAAAACCACTTTCATGATTTTTTCAGAATCTTTTGAAAGGGGCGCCATTTCCAAACATGCGAAAAACGCGATTTTTTATTTTCTGCGTTTTTTTTACTTTTGTTGAAGCACCTGTATTAAAATGTGAATTCAATCCTAAATGGCCCATTTTGTCAATGAATACTTTTGAATTTTGTCACCTCAAAAAATGCGGAAAACTCAAATTATCGCTAACTGCGATTTTTGGTTATTTTATTGTGGTTTTCGGTTTGCGCAAGAATCGCGACAAAATATTGAACATTTCATGACATAGTATTTTGTTAGACCACAACTTTATTAATTTTGTGGCAATTTTTTGAGAGGTACGTCATCTCAAACAATTGTGGAAGACTTAATTTATTGATATTTTCGCGATTTTGTGAAAACATACCTCATGAACTATGTGAAATTTTTCTATGAGATACGATATTTCAGGAGTGTTTTATTTTTGGAGAAATAATAATGTTACTTTTATCAACAATTCTGAGAAATGCCATTTTATACCAAATACCATGCTCGAGACCCTGCTCTTATCGGAGGGTTAAAGTTAAAGCTCATACAACACATTTATCATGTGCAGGGTTATAGTGTTTGCTTTTTAAGTTCGAATTTTTATAAAATTAGATAAATGCTTTATTGATTGAATATTTAAAATGAACATCTAACCTTATTAATTCTCCAAAAATAAAACACGTACCTTCCTGAAAATTTATACAAAATTCATGGGGTTCGTTTTTACAAAATCGCGAAAATATCAATATATAAACAACAATAAATTGACTAAAGATTGCAAAATGTTATCGATACATTTAGTTTTTCGCGTTTTTTGAGGTGACACGCCTCTCAAAAAAAGTGACAAAATTGACCATTTAAGATTGAATTCACAATACTTCTAGTAACAGGCGCTTCGGCATAAAAAAACGCAGCAAATTACTAAAAAATCAACCATTTTGTTTAAAAAAATTTGGAATTTTAAAATTTGTATTTGGTGACCACAAACTTTTGTTTCACTGCGATTGAAAAAGTTTGTAAACAAAATTTCAAATTTTATTAGTTTTAATTTTCTATTACTATTTTTCATTAAAAACATTTTTAAAATCCCATGACTTAATGGTCAGTTATGGCGTATTTAACAAATTTAATGAAAGAATCTTGAGAGAAAAAGAAGAATCGTTATTTATGTGTGGTGGAATTAAGCGCCTACACAACAGCGACCTAATATACACGCATGAGTGGTGGCACTCTTGCTTCATCGATCTAAAATACATGCATTAACGAACATTTACGATTCAATTCTTCTGTCTCTGGTACCTACTCTTCTTCATTCCCAGTTACAACTGGGAATTATAAATGTGTCGAAGATTTTTTATAATTCCCAGTTGTAAGTGTAAAACTGGGAATTAGTGCTAATTTACAGTTACAACTGGGAATTAGTGCTAATTCCCAGTTACAACTGGGAATTAGTGCTAATTCCCAGTTACAACTGGGAATTAGTACTAATTTACAGTTACAACTGAGAATTAGTATAATTTACAGTTACAACTGGGAATTATAAAAAATCTTTGTATATGTCCTTTCCAAAGCTTCGTATGATCATGCTGAAGTAAGCGCCAATAGTAATGTTAATGATATGCAAATTTCAAAAGGAAAAAAACGACGACGAGTGTTTGATGCAATAAATGATGATATAGAGCCATATTATAAAAAACCTAAACTTAATACAATTTTAAATGTGACAATTGAAAAAGTAAATAAGGTTCCAAATAACATGCAGTTTGTAAAAAAAATTGACAATCTTTTCGTTTTATTTATAACTTTATTGAATAGAGATATTCCAACATGGGTAGGATGGAATAGCCAAAGAATTCGTGATGATCTTCCTCTTCAGAAAATTTGGTACCTACCACCAATAAATGCATCCCCAACAAATAATGCAGTTGTTTTGCACACTTTAAAAATTGCACAAAATGTAGCTTCTCAGTGTGCACAAAAATATATCTCTGTCACGTATGACTTACAAATTGCAAAGACAGCTATGCAAATTCAATGCCAAGAGTCGCCAAAATATGACAATATATTTATACATCTAGGCGCTTTTCATGTACAGTTGTCGTATTTCAAAGCGGTTGGAAAATTTTTAGAAGAATCTGGAGGACCTTATATATTAATAGAGGCGAATGTTTTGGCTGCAGGATCATTAAAGGGGTTCATTACAGGCACCCATTTTAATAGGTGTAAACGAATCCATGGACTTTTAGCTACAGCAATCCAACGTTTACATTTAGAATCATATTTCGAAAAGTATGGAATTGATTCAACTGCTTTGATACCAAGTTTAGAAAATGTAGAGAGTCTGGATAATCTGCCTGCAGACATAGACGATATGTTAAATAACTATGAAACATATTATAAAGATACAGAAAATGGCCTCTATGGCAAAACTGCTAAATATTGGATAACTTATGTGAGCCTTATAAAAATATATCAAAGATTCGCAAGAAGCATACGCACTGGTGACTTTGAGTTGTACGTGTCTTGTTTGCCAAAAATAGCTTCTGTTATGTTTGCCATGAACCATCACAATTACTCAAGATGGCTATTGCGATTTTACGACAACATTGTCGACATTGATAGTACCCACCCTGGACTTAAAGAAAATCTAATAGCTGGTGGGTTATCTATTAGAAGAACTGAAAAGAATTTTTCACGTACACCTGTAGACCTTACTTTAGAACAGACTATTAATGCAGATGCTTCTGGTAAGGCTGGAGGAGGAATTGCGGCGCTTACAAACTCTATATCTGCAAGAAAACGGTGGGCTGTTAGTCATTCTCTTCGAACTTCATTAACCACTCATCTTTTAGATAAATTAAATTTATCTAACATGGAAGATATTACTAACGAAACGCGACCTCATATAATGGAAAAAAATTATACTGCTCTCTCAGAAATAAGAAATGGCATTCAAAATACACTAAATCCTTTTGATAGCAGAATTAATAAAACTAAACTGTTTAATTTAGCAACGGGAAAGGCAGCTAGTGGAAATACTGAAGATTTCTTGCTAAATGTGTTGCAAATTGGAGAAAAGGCTAGGAATGATTTTCTAATAGAATGTAAAAATAATAATGAAAGATTTGAAAGTCCTATTAAAAGACAAAAGGTTTATACTTTTGCCTCAGAGTCCAAGAAACTTGTAAAGAGGGATGGAAAAGACACTGAGGTCAAACTGGAAAGAGACTTAATGGGAAGAATGCTAATATTAGCGTTAGAAAATAACATTGATCTGGAATTAATAATGCAGTATCCATTAACATCTATTCCGTTATCATTAGGTCATATTGACGGAGCTATAAACAAAACAGCAAAATCGGCTTTATTTAAATATTTAGAAAAAAGAACAAATCATTGTCATCCCACTGTAGTCAATTGCACCTTGGTTGATGGTTTCTATTTTCTGCACCTTATAGCAGCCAATCTGCCTATGACATTCGGTAAACTGGCTGGACAAATTCTGTCAAAAATTTGCCAACTAAAGGGAAATAGAATTGATATTATTTTCGATAAAATAATTAGTCCGTCTATTAAAGATCTCGAGCGAGAGTCTCGGGGAATTTTTGACAGAGATGTCGAATATAGCATTACCGGACCTGACCAGAAACGACCTACAGATTTATTTAAGGCACTCAGATCAGATAAATTCAAGTCCTCGTTGGTAGAATTTCTAGTCCAGGAATGGTGCCAAGATCATTATGCCACTATTTTAGGGGACAAAATTATTTACGTAAATTGTAATGATATATGTTACAAATATAGTAACGCAAATGGATTTATGTTACAAGAAATTAAAGAAGAACTAATATGTTACCATGAAGAAGCCGATTCCAGGATAGTATTTCATTTGTCTAAACTTCCAGAAGACAGCAATGTCGTTATAAAAGCTTCGGATACGGATATATTCATTATCGCCCTGGGAAATTTTTATGTATTGCCTCAAAATTTATCAATTTGGATTGAAACAGGTAATAGGAAATAATTATTACCCACGGTGAAATCTATTTTGCTTTAAATACATTTTTAGGTACACAGCGTAACAACACATTAAGATACATCCACTTGAATGCCATAATTCTTAGTTTAGGCCCGGAACTATGTAATGCTATGCCAGCTTTTCATGCAATTACGGGTTGCGATTACACCGCAGCTTTTGCAAGAAAAGGAAAACTGAAGCCATTCAAAATTTTAGAACAAGATAAGGACATGCAGGCAGTTTTTGCAACTTTCGGCAATTCTGAAAACGTAGATGAAAAACAAATTAAGGCAGTTGAAAAATTCGCTTGCCTAATATACGGAAAAAGACAAACAACAGAAATAAATAAAGCAAGGTAAGTAGGTGGGATGCCCCATCTTCGAGTGTTTATTAAAAATATTGCAGATACGAAATTTTCTTAGACGCATATAAACCCAAACATAATGACAATGAGATATTTAATCGAATACGGCAATTCGATGGTAGCTCACTTCCACCATGCTCAGATGTACTTTTAATGAAAATTAAAAGAGTCAACCAGGTTTGTGGTATTTGGAGACATGCCACACAAAGATCCCCTAAATTTTACCTGCCTGAAAACCACGGTTGGATTATTGATAACAATTTGTACACACTACGCTGGTACGCAGGGCCCCAATTTCCCGAAAAATTGGAAGATATCCTAACTAAAGACATTAATGTACTTGTGGATGAATCTGATGAGGATCAAGATCCAAAATATCGTGAAACTAGTGATGAAGAAGATTAATTATTTAGGTGTTTTTTTTTACTTTTGTATAATAGGTTATTGTTTTCTTAAAAAATATTAAATGATGATGAAATACAGTACATATTTTTAATATTAATATGGCGGCCAGAACGCATGTAAGCCTGAACACTGTAGACGTCTCGCTCTATCGAGTTACTCCTTACGTGTTAAACTGAGATGGAATGACAATCTTTAACGGCGTCTGCTATCAAAACGCTGCCGTCTGCTCAAATTCTGTTTCGACACATCGTTTTGCAATTTCCCGCTCTTTCTTTTAAGTATAATTTGAAGCTGGAACAATATCACGAGCTTTAACGAGTTTTTTGCTATTTTTGTTAGCGTCTGCTGGACAAACGCTGCCACTTGGATCGTCTGCCATTATCGATAAAGATATAACTCAACATTGTGCATCGAATGGAACATGTCCCATCCTGGAAGAAATCGTGTGATTTCTCGAAATTTTTTCCAAATTTGAGCACGCGCCCTACTCTAACGCTGCCAATATAACCCGGCAGACGCCCGATTTAATAATGTGCATGTAAAGTACTTTTAAATAAAAATAGTGAACCTTTGGAATAATGTCAGGTGGTATAATGTTTGCTAGCTCTCGGACTATTAATTTTTCCTTGATGTAGTGATTGGATTCGTTTAAACCACAGGTAAAAATGTCTTTAATCAAGCTTTCACGTAGTGCTCCCAAGTCGCAGGACAGGCTAAGATTTGTTAATGCTGTGACATAATCCTCAAGGGATTCATTGCTACCTTGCTTTCGTGTTATAAATATATGCCTCTCAAATGAAATATTAGCGGTAGGTGTAAAATGTGCATCAAACCTCGTTTCTAGCTCGTCGTATTTCACAGAATCCAAGTTTTCGTTAAAAGAATTGTAGATTTTCAAGCAATCGGGGCCCAGGTAGTGAAGCATTAAGGCGACTTTTCTTGCATCACTTTCTTTGTCAAGACCTGTAGCTCGCAGATAAATTAGGAATTGGGTTTTCCAAGTTTTCCAGGCTTGTGATAAATCAGGTGCACGCAGATTCATAGGCTGAAGCGAACAAGATGCCATAGGTGCTGCTCTACTACACGTGCTTCTACAACAGATTGGTTAGCATTTGAATTTGACGGATTTACTTCATTGTCTGGCATGACGGGCTTGATTCTTTATTTACTGACAGATTAATTTTAGACGACAACTTCTGACACCATATTATGTTGGGTGATTGCTTGGATTAATATATTAACACACAGGTAGCGGAACAGATCTTTATTAGACAATTGTCATGTCACCGGCCATCGAGCAGCTGTCGTGTCAAGCGTACCGGCTTCGTCTTGGCAACCTTTACGAAAGACATAGTTGCCACGTTTTATAACATACAGATATACTATAACAACCTCGACCTACACCGACGAGCGGCCGGCAACAGATCTTTGATCACCGCTGTAACCAGGCTACGTGTTTGTCCAGATTTTCCTTTGTGTTTGTTTTGTTTTCTTTTTCCCTTTCAGCGTGTCCCACGGATGCGGAGCGGTGACAACCCTAGTTGAAAGTGTCTTTTTTCATGAATTGACTTGATTAATGAGGACAAAGCAAATTCATAAAAAAATATCACTTTCAAACCTAGCTGTACAAATAACTATTTCGATGTGTTTTAGTTGATAGAGAATCAATAAAAAAGCCTTGGTTTGAACAATACGTATATTAAATACAAAACACAAAACCATCCTCCATGACACTACATCAGTCCAAAGATCATTATACACTAGATAGTCAGCGTCTGTATAAAAGTTGGACGATCAATTTTGTCCGCAGGATAAGTCGACTCTGTCCGCAGAGTCAATGTTTTCAACACAGTAGTACATTTGCACGCCTCGCGTGGCCTTGTCCTGTAATACGACCCTTCTGTTTGTTCAGCCAGTCGACCCCGACAACCTATTTTTAGACGCGTTTACCGTTTGAATTCAGTTCGTTTATTTTCACTAAAACCCGCAATACACGATTCAATTTTTACATGTAAAATACACGAAAAATGCATGTAAACATTGATGTAAAAATATGTGACAATACACGTTAACATTTTTCGTTTACAATATTTTGAATTTCTGGGAAAATTGATAACTTCGGATTATTGGCACCTACCTTCATGTTCAATTAAACTCAAAGTTAGGTTAGGTAAATTTTGAAATATAATGGACTTGGATAAGAATTTATTATTAAGTGCCGCCGTGATAGCAATAAGTGCAGCGTCAACGACTGTGTTAAAATTGCAATCAAAAGAAAAGAAAAAACGGAATCGAAGAATATGGGTGCGTTCTTGGGTTGGAAGAAGAGATAGCAAAGGAATCATGAACCTTGTGACTAATGAATTATTAACAGAAGACCCATTGGCATTCAAAAATTATTTAAGGATGTCCAACACGTCCCTATTGAAACTGTTGGGAAAAGTGGAAAATCTCATTAGCAAACAGGACACTGTTATGCGTCAGGCAATACCAGCAAAGCATACACTAATTATTGCATTGCGTTATTTGGCGACTGGAGAAACATTTAGAAATCTTATGTTCTCTACAAGAGTGCATGAATCAACCATTGCACAGTTTGTCCCTGTTGTGTGTCGAGCAATTTATTCTGTGCTAGTTAAGGACTACATCAAGGTACATTTGTTAACTTATGTACCTATATATGAAACCAATAGTAATATAACTTTTTACAGTTGCCCGAAACTTGTTCTCAGTGGGAAGAAATAGCTACAGGTTTTTATAACGAATGGCAAATTCCAAATGTGCTTGGAGCCTTAGATGGCAAGCATATTGCGTTTTGTGCACCATTAGCATCAGGATCCACTTATTATAATTATAAGGGATTCCATAGTATTGTACTACTGGCTCTTACAGATGCTAAATATCGATTTACATATATAGACGTTGGTGTGAATGGTAGAGTGTCTGATGGAGGTGTGTTTAGTCAAAGTGATCTGTATAGAGCATTGGAAAATAATTCTCTCAACATACCACTTGATAAACCGCTGCCTGGTATGCAACGTGCAGTACCGTATGTAATTCTAGCGGATGCTGCATTCCCTTTAAAAAAAAATATATTGAAACCATACCCATTTCGAGGCCTCACTGAAGAACAGGCGATATTTAATTATAGGTTAAGCCGTGGACGTAGAGTTGTCGAAAATGCTTTCGGTATTTTGGCCAATAGATTCCGCATTTTGTTGGGAAAAATTAATTTGGGAGCTGATAAAACTCGAGATATTACGTTAGCGTGTTGTGCTCTTCATAATTTTTTAATTGCTGAAAGTAATCTGTATGTACAATCGGTTGAGCATACCCCCACAACCAGTAACGATCAACTAGGAGGAATTGGTCAGCAAATTGGTAATCGTCCAAGCAATACTGCAATGCAAATTCGTGAAGAATTTAACCGTTACTTTAATGGAATTGGAGCAGTAGAATGGCAAAATAATATGATTTAAATATAGTTTTCAAATAAGTTTTGTTCATTTCAGTGTAAAGAATGAGTTTAGCATATAAAAAATGTTTTCTAGTGTTTTATTTTATAAAATATAAATATAAAAATGTTTTCTTCAATTTTCCTTTTCTTGCGCATCGTAAATGAGCATCATTATCTGTCTCTTTACTTCTCTTAGGATGTTACGATCCGTTATCATCCGCATTTCTGATTCAATATTTTTACAAAAGTTTTTGGTTGGATCATTCTCGGATTTACTTACAGCCCCAATATTAGTTAATGCCGACGTGGAAGCTTTTCATATTGTATATCTCCTGTTGCAGATTCTCTTTTGCGTTTTTTTGTTGACTATAAAATTACAATTAAAAATCATTATACTATCTCCATAAAGAAATTACCTTTTGAGAAATGGGTGTTACAGTAATTGGAGATTGACTATTTAAATCGTCATGCGGTGTACCAACATTAAAATTCCCCATGTCATCTATTGTGCCCTCGTAAATTAATTCGTCCTTTTCAGAGTCGACTTCTCCTTGGTAAACTTCTACAGCTTGCCCTTGTGCCGCATGCTACAAATTTTTTTCTTCGTACAAGTAACATAAAATAAAACTTACATTGATTGATGAAACATTTTTCGTGGCATTGTGAGGTGCTTGCCGATGGTGTAAGAAATTCAATAATTCGAAACACCACCATGTCGATACATACACATCGTCTAATCCTGCACCTGAATGTTCGCTTTTTTTTAACTTATTAAGTTCACTGGTGTAAGTTGTTCGTAGCCCATTTATTTTTTTTTGTATTACATCCCATGTCACGTCTGTATTACACAAATTATTGAAATTTGTAGTAATTTCTTCCAGGGCCATTCTGCGCTTTGTTTTGTTTTTATAGTGCACACTGCTAATTAAATATAAACATTCATGTTGTTCATACAATTGTATGAGTGTTTTTGTGTGGTCTTGGTTCCACATTTTTAAATAAATAAATAAAGTACGGGAAAGAATTGAGGTTACAAGTTTGTTTTTACACTTGTACCAATATTTGCGTTTTGCCAACCACAAGTAAATAAACTGTACTACAGCGAACTAAAAATTCATGACAATGACCTTCAGAAATAGAACAAAACCTATTTGTTCAATTTATGATGTAAAATTGAATGTAAAAATTCACGGTGACAATACACGATGTAATTAGCATTTTTCATCAAAATTCATGAATAATTCATGTAATTTATGATGGTGTACTACGGCTTTAAGCGAGATTTTTATGCATTTGTTGGTGAACGATTTTAGCGAATGGATTAAATGTTGTGTTGAATTTTGAAATAAAGACCTTCCTTGGTGGCATACATACAGATTGATTTTTATATCATAGTTTAGTTTTTTAATTTATAGTGAAAGTGTACAGTATAAACAGCTCTAGTTTATTTTTATAACGAGCACGCAATGGGGAAAAGAGACAAATGCGTGTTTATAAACTGCAGTAAATGTCAAAATGACCATCCTGGCTTACGTGTATTTAGAATCCCCATTTGAAGAACGATCGGGCCGTCAATGGATTGTGAAGTCAGGTTAGTAAATACAGCCCCCTTCCCCTTATGAATAGG